CTGTGGAGTTCTCGTTGCCACTATTCTCGCTAGCCATGAGAGTGAACTTTGGTGATTAAAACTATAGGGTGCGTGCGGTACGAATAATTCACTGCAATGGAATGTCACTGGACGGAAGTCCCCCTCGCATCTCTCACTGGCTGAGGTGTGACTGCTGGCCTTAGGCCAGCAAGGCTGGGCAATGGGTAACTGTCCAAACAGTGTATTAATGTTAGGTAGTGTAATTACTATGTTAAGTAAACAAACTAACTCTAATTTAGCCTAAATAAGTGTATGTAGTAATGTATAAAATACAGTAGCCTGTGGGAGGAAATTGTTATAAAGCTAAGATTATAAATTAAGTAGATACAGAACTGGCAACCCCCTTAAGGGGGGGGGGCTGTATGTCTTCCCCCCCCAACCGAGAGGTGGGTTTATGGTCGTCGGAGGAATCACTGGATTACTCACACTTGCAGAGCGGGCACACAGATATGAACAGGTTAGATGTCACTCAGAATAGCCATTTATCCCAAAACCCCTTCTTAATGTGTCAGTCATTGTAATTCCCACTCCAGAACTCGTGTACCAGCAACCGGTTCCTGAAGCCCTTCACAAAATATATACTCGTATGCTCACACTCCAACAGCTTGTTCAGGTCGCAAAAAACATTGTATCCTTCACTCTAACACGCTCACAGCCTGCTCTGCATGTCCAGGCCCTGTTGCACACACAGACCTCATTTAACCCCCTCCCTCCTTCCATCCTTTCCTTGGACATAGCACACCCTCCTTCCCTCCCAACATATTTTGCGTCTATCCTCTCTGAAGATGACCTAACATCCTCAATAACCCTCTTCAACCCTCTGAATATACTTTCCATTTAGTAACTTAAACCCTCCATAATTTCCGCAACACTATAAATTCTTTGCCATATTTACACCACAAATTGCCCTTAGACAGACATCTCCCCCCTTTCTCTCTCTCTCTCCCTTTTTCTCCTCTCTCTCCCTCTTCTCTCTCTCTCTCCCTCTTCTCTCTCTCTCTCTCCCTCTTCTCTCTCTCTCTCCCTCTTCTCTCTCTCTCCCTCTTCTCTCTCTCTCCCTCTTCTCTCTCTCTCCCTCTTCTCTCTCTCTCCTTCTCTACACCAACGGTTCTCAGGATCCCGAGGCTGGCCGCACGGGTGCCTGGGTATACCATGCTACCCTGACGGCTGGCTGGCGACTCCAGGATCACTGCACCATCCTCCAGGCAGAACTCCATGCCATCCAGAGGGCCCTGCAACACGCGCTCCTGGATCATCAGCAACCCCCAGTCATTCACGTCGACTCCAGAGCGGCAATCCAGGCCGTCATGCGCAGAGAGCCCAGGGACAACATCCGGCTACTTACTGCCATCAGCAGGGACCTGCAGACACTTGATGAGCAGGGCCGGCGAGCAACAATCAGTTAGATTCCGAGCCACATCGACCTCGCTGGGAATGATGCGGCGGATGGTGTGGCGAAGTCAGCCACTCCTGAGGCCTAGCCAGTGATTACCATCAGTTGCAGACAAGTGGACCTGTGGGCAGCCGCCACGGCCAGGCACCCGCTGCCAGGGCCGGGCACATCACTGAGCCGGATCTGGTATGACAGGGCTACCCGAGGGGAGCTCCCAACCGAGCATGCCGAGGTTGGGATCCACCGCCTGCGACTTGGCTACCCTACCGCCAGAAGACTCATCGAATGCGCGCGAGAGAGGAGCACTGTTGCCACTGTGATGAGATGGTCCCCAAGCCACTCTTGCACTACCTGCTCGACTGCCCCGTGATGGTGCCGCTCTGATGAAGGCACTTCGTGATGGCACCTGGGGACCCGACCCGAGAAGTCACCGCAGCCTGGCTGGTGTACCTGGCTGTCCAAGACTTGGGAACTCTCATCCCGGTTCTGGCTGCCATTTACAGACGATGATTCGCCACTACACCCTCCCATCTTTCGACTCTCCTACCCCTCCTTTCTTTTACCCCCCACCCTTCCCTTCCCCACCACTTGAATGAAAAAAAAAAAAAACAATGGAGCCTGTACTTGTTTACTAGGTAGAAGTCTGAACTTACCTAGAGCCCATGCCACCCAACCAACAGTCCAATGGGACAACAAGTGCCCGAAGACCCTGGGCCCTGGAGACGCCTGCTGATGAAGCCCAAGACGACACCTGCTGATGAAGATGCTAAGTGAGAAGACACTCCCCCCTTGAGGAGTGTCTTCTCGCTTAGCAGGAGAAAGACGACGACAAACGGCACCCCGAACCGGGGGCCACCGCCGGGTCGCCATCTGGAGAAGACCCGGGCCGGATGTACTGGCAAATCATTAATGAATAAATGAATTCTCCTCTCTCTCTCTCTCTTCTCCTCTCGGAAATTTTGCAACAGTGAGACACTTTAGGATTTGGGGTCATGACAGTCAAAGGGATAATGTGCTCTGGAGTGATTTATTGCACATCCAATATGGCCAATAACCAGGATAGAATTTCGGCCAAAAAAGTGGGCAAAAACCGAATTGGCCAATATCCGGAACAGCCAGTAACAGAGGGTCCACTGTATATAGGGTTCACTACCATTCGCTGTAGATCTTGGAAGATATCACTCGTGGATATAGGGGGACTATTAATGTATGTACAGTGGACCCTCGACCAACGCATCGTTAGGCGATAAAATCGCCTAACGATGCGTTTGTGTGAAAATATTGGCTCGACCAATGGTGAAAAACTCGGGTAAGGACATTCATCTCCAAAGTGTCCGCCTTCCTCTGTCCAGCCTGAGTGCATCAGCTGCCCTGTCTTCAGCTAGTGTGCCATTGTTTACAAGGCAGGGCGGATGGTTTCACGTATACATGAAATATATTTTGTATTATTCCATTGTTTTTTAGTGCTTTTAACCGCTAAATAAGCCACCATGGGCCCAAAGAAACCTAGTGCCAGCCCTGTGGTAAAAATGGTGAGAAATACTATCGTACCACGGTCAGCTGCTGCTGCACCACCGTCAGCTGCTGCTGTACCTCGGTTAGCTGCTGCTGTACCTCGTTTAGCTGCTGCTGAGCCACCGTCGGCTGCTGCTGAGCCACCGTCGGCTGCTGCTGAGCCACCGTCGGCTGCTGCTGAGCCACCGTCGGCTGCTGCTGAGCCACCGTCGGCTGCTGCTGAGCCACCGTCGGCTGCTGCTGAGCCACCGTCGGCTGCTGCTGAGCCACCGTCGGCTGCTGCTGAGCCACCGTCGGCTGCTGCTGAGCCACCGTCGGCTGCTGCTGAGCCACCGTCGGCTGCTGCTGAGCCACCGTCGGCTGCTGCTGAGCCACCGTCGGCTGCTGCTGAGCCACCGTCGGCTGCTGCTGAGCCACCGTCGGCTGCTGCTGAGCCACCGTCGGCTGCTGCTGAGCCACCGTCGGCTGCTGCTGAGCCACCGTCGGCTGCTGCTGAGCCACCGTCGGCTGCTGCTGAGCCACCGTCGGCTGCTGCTGAGCCACCGTCGGCTGCTGCTGAGCCACCGTCGGCTGCTGCTGAGCCACCGTCGGCTGCTGCTGTGCTACCGTCAGCTGTTCTACTCAAAGATGTGGAGAGACTGTTGTTGGTGTGGCTTAATGAGAAACAATTACTGAGAAACAATTAACCCCAGAGGGTTAGCCACCCAGGATAACCCAAGAAAGTCAGTGCATCATAGAGGACTGTCTAACTTATTTCCATTGGGGTCCTTAATCTTGTCCCCCAGGATGCGACCCACACCAGTCGACTAACACCCAGGTGAACAGGAAAATGCCTGGAACTAGTGCTCATGTTGGTGAATTTAAGGCCAACAAAGGTTGGTTTGAGAGATTTAAAGAATCGTAGTGCCATACACAGTGTGATAAGGCATGGCAAAGCTGAAGAATTCCAACCCCAACAAGTGTTCAGTTGTGATGAAACAGGCCTGTTCTGGAAGAAAATGCCAAACAGGACCTACATTACTCAGGAGGAAAAGGCACTCCCAGGACACACGCCTATGAAAGACAAGCTAACTCTCATGTTTTGTTGTAACGTTAGTGGGGGTTGCAAAGTGAAGCCTTTACTCATGTATCACTCTGAAATTCCCAGTGTTCAAGAAAGTGTCTCAACACTCATCAGTACTCTTCAATAAAGGTAAGTGTCATTTATTCTTCATTTAGTATTTATTGTGCATGTATCCTTGTTTTTCTGTGTAGGAAAATGTATATTTCATGTGGAAAAAAAAAATTTCATACTTTTGGCTGTCTGGAATGGATTAATTGGATTTCCATTATTTCTTATGGGAAAAACTAAATCGGCTAACGATAAATTCGGCTAAGGACGAGCTCTCTGGAATGGATTAATGTCGTTGGTTGAGGGTCCACTGTATATTGTATTGCAATAGTTTTATAAATCTGTCTAGTTCTTAAAAGAAAATAAATAATACAGGTCAACCATCACTAATCCGGCAATCATTTATCTGGTTCCATCAGTAATCCGGCACTAATTTCGGCTGGCATAATTTCAAATTTCATCATTATACTGACTCAGAAAATGTGCAGATGGTTGTAAATCCACAGTAGCAAGCCAGTGGAGGAGAAAGCAGTGATGATAATGAGGAAGATGTAGTAGAAAGAGTTTCTATTGATAGGTTAATTTAGTGTATTCTAACCTAACCACTCTGTAATCTGGCAAACTCACTCTGTAATCTGGCAAACTCACTAATCCGGCACACTAAGGTCCCAGTGATGCCAGATTAGTGATGGCCAACTGTAGTTACTTTTCAGTTAAGTACGATATTCTGAGTTTAGTTATGTTAATTATGCGTGTGAGTGAAGGTGAGATTATCACTTTCAGCTAATCAGTTAAAACTTAGACTTTATAGTCATACAAAAATGACTGTATAGGTTTCATACTAACACTGAATAACCATAATGAGTTTAGCATTTTCTTCAAGCAATAATAATAGGATACGATACATATCCAATGCATAATTTTTGTTTGCACATGGTGAAATAATGTAATTTATAAACTAAAACTTTTTTTTTTTTCAGCTATTTGTTGTGATAAGAGGAAAATTCCCGGCAAGAAGACGAAGAAAGAAGAGAGCGCAACATTATGAATATTATTATCAGGATGTGGAGCTGGTTAAGCGCAATGATGTTAATATGACATCACCCACATTTCCAAAGACTTCTGCGACATCAGGGAAAAGCTTGACAAGAACAATTGATGTTGAAAACAATAAGAACAATGACAAAGTTTTAGGGAAAGCAGAAAAAATTAATGCTGCTAAAATGAGTGTTGAGGAACCCCAGGCTCATAAAGTCATAATACAAGAAGGAAAGCAAGTGACTGTGAATGATAAAGTTGGACAATTGCCAGTTGTTGTTTTCAGCCCTCCCACAGAAAGTGTAATTGATAATCATGATGTTCCCTACATTGAGATTCGAGAAAGTGATATCTCCAGCCATGACGGTGCAAGGTTTTTATCATCTAAATCTAACATTGCCATGTTTCCTTCAACTATTGTTGAAGGAAACATAGCAAAAGTTTCTCAGTCAGTATTCAAAAAATCAGAAAATTTAAAAAGACTTGCCCCCACCCTACCTGCTCAAAATCTTGCTTCTGCAGCACAAACTACATGCATGTCTAGTGACTTGAAGAAAAGCACAGTGGTCAAAGAAAGCACTTTTCCACAAGCACTCCAGAGTAAGCAAAAAATAATAGTCAAAACTGTATCTTCCATTAATGAAACTGTCTTGTCTTCCATTGCTAAGCCTGTCTCGTTAAAATATTTAGAAAACCCAAATAATCCAAAATTATTAAAAAGTCATTTAATAAGCCAAGATACAGATTCAACAATAGATTTTAAAGAAAAAAAAAATTTAGGTGAAGCAAACTGCATTGACAAGAATGTACCAATTAAGAAAGAACTCAAAGAAAATGAGAACTTATTGACCAGTAACGACAAAGCAAATACTCCATTAGCTGAGCGACAACTGCCAGATATGGATGTGCTTGACTACTTTAGAAATGAAATGGTTGAGAATAATGAAAAGATGTTTGTAAATCCTAAAGTGAATTTTGAACCATCATTTCTTTCTGAAAGATGTGGCAATTCTGGAGATGAAATACAAATAATCCAAAATGAAGAGCCTCTTAGACATACACAGATACATGTATTGAGGAATGTGAAGTCTAATAATACCATTATAGAAAAGGAAATGACTAGCTGTGAAGTAGAAATAGTAAAAGAAATTAATACTGAAGGCATTGTTGATACTGCAAAAGCTGGTAACCAAGGAAGTTCAAAATCTGGTCCAGTGCCTGCTAGTATTGTGATTAAAGTTAATACTGAGATTACCCAAGGTAAGGCTTGCAGCAGTGACAAAAGTGAACATAAATTAAGTAATGCTACATTGAATATTAACAGTGTATCAACTGGAAAGGAAACTATGGTTGCTAAAGAGAGCAATGTTATGCCTTGGAAGAATACACAGGTAGAAGATGGAGTTCAGTTTGACGAGCCAAGCCAGAAAATTAGTAAAATTGGCAGCATAACTAAAGCCCATATTAAATCAAGTAGAAGATGGGATGAGGATCTTAGAAGTTTTGCAGTATGTAATAATACTGATAGTATATCTAAATCTGAAGTGAAGAAAAGGTCAAAAAGCTATAAAGAGAAATGTTCACAGAGAAAAAGTGCAAGTGAAGAATCTTCATTATCAGAAAATAACACAACCAAGACTTGTGTAAAGGACAGTACTTGTTTGAGAGTTGACAATAAGCAGAGAGCAATCAAAATTAAAAAGGCAGTTTTGAGCACAGCTTTTGATTTATTAGAAACAGGAGGATCATTAACTGATTTTGAAAGAACTCAAAAGCTAGAAGCGGCGATGTTTGAGGACAATCCTGCAGTTCATTACATGAGTGGAAATACCATTATTGGTACAAAGGCTAATCTTGAAGAATTATCGTGTATACCTTCAGTTGCACTTAGATATTTCACAATAGATTCTTTTGAGCACATCACATTTCTGCTGGAGCACCACCAGATGTGTCCTGGCCTTTGGTGCCAGATTTGCCACATTATCCGGGCTGCTTATGTACATGTCACACTGTTCAATCATCGTTGCCCTGTGTGGTATTCATTTATAAGACTTGTAAGCTGGCATTCCCGAATGTGTAAGAAAGTCAGCTGTTCAGTAATCTTCTGTAACTTTGTGAAGCATGAGCTGTACATGTCTCAGAGTGAACTGATTTTGTCAAATCATAACTTAAACGAGCATAAAATTTTAGAGACTGAGTTTAGCAATTGTGTCAGTTTAGGGCCTCACAGTGCTGAACTGCACTGCAATCACCACCAAGTTACAGAATTGCCAATTTCTTCTACAAAGATCAAGAGTTTTCATCAGGACAATGTAGAGGCTCGTGCTCTCAGGCTGATGAGTGATGTCCTGCTGCCAAACAAACCTGAAGCTAAACAAATTGTAACACCTATAATTTGGACTTTTAAGTTTGTTGCCTCAAACTGCAACCACAGTGCAAAACCCATGAGCTAAGATTGATATATTAGTATGTACTAATATTTAGGATTGTGTAATCTGTATATAATGATGTAGTATATATTGGTATAGTAAATGGTTAATTTTTTTTCAAATTGCATATTTTTTTAGCCTGTAAAAAATTTCCTTGTCTAAATCATTAAAGATTAAATAAAATAAAAAAGTAGTGAATAGATGACTATACACCTACCATCCAACTTACGACCGAGTTCGGTTCCGAGAAACCGGTCGTAAGTTGAAATGGACGTAAGTCGAACCTTACTGCTGAATATCAGTATCGCATTTTGGTAATGACTTTATTTTATTGTTTTATTTTGGTATTTCATGTTTTACTTTTTATGCTGTTAGTACAGTGGACCCTCGACTAACGCTATTAATCCGTTCCTGAGAGCTCATCGTTAGTCAAAATTATCGTTAGTCAAGTTAATTTTCCCCATAAGAAATAATGGAAATCAAATTAATCCGTGTAGGACACCCCAAAGTATGAAAAAAAAATTGTTTTTACCACATGAAATATTAATTTTAATACACACAAACTGAAGAAGACATGCACAGTTACATGACACTTACCTTCATTGAAGATCTGATGATGACTGATGGGATGGGAGGAGGGGAGTGTTGATGGTCTTAGTGTTTAGAAAGGGAATCCCCTTCCATTAGGACTTTAGGTGGCAAGTCCTTTTCTGGGGTTACTTCTCTTCCCTTTAAATCTCTCAAACCAACCTTTGCTTGCCTTAAATTCACTCACATCACCACTAGTTGCTGGCATTTTTTTAATTAACCCTTTGACTGTTTTCGACGTATAAATACGTCTTACGAGCCAATGTTTCTGACGTATATATACTCAATAATTCTAGCGGCTTCAAATCAAGCGGGAGAAAGCTGGTAGGCCCACATGAGAGAGAATGGGTCTGTGTGGTCAGTGTGCACCACATAAAAAAAATCCTGCAGCACACATTGCGTAGTGAGAAAAAAAAAACATCGTTTTTTGGAATAAAACGCCAACTTTGAGGTATATTTTCGTATAGTATTTATCGTTGTATTCGCGTTTTCATGGTCTTAAGTGATAAAATGGAAAACATATTACAGAAATAGAGATGATTTTCATTACTTCGATGATGAAAATGAGCTCAAAGTAGCGGAAATGTTCGATTTTTACCAATGTTCAGGAGTAAATAAATCACACCACACGTCCAATACACGTCAACTGGGGAGTCTGATATTCTTTCATTAGTGCACTGATATTATTTATACCATTTTTACAATAATGCAGTAGTCTGCATAACAGTAAATTTTGTATTTTTTTGTATGAATAAAAAATAAAAATAGAAAGCAATAATAATATAAGAGGGGCCTAATGAACAGAGCATATGTTATTTTAGTGCCACGAATGTCTACCTTGTTTATTCTGGACCCTATTTTGAAATTGGCATCTTTTTTAGTTTGCGTGAAATTGGCCAAATTGCCAATTTCTGACCACCATATTGGGTAGTCCAAATTAGTAAATGGGAGGTTTCTTGTACTCAGCTGATAGATAAAATGGAGTTCTAAAGAAATAGCTATGAGTTTGGTCAACTGGAACAATGGAATTGGCTGAAAATAGGGCTCAAAGTCGGTGAAATCGCTGATATGCATATGTCGCCGAGACCGCTAACTTCGCGGGAGCGTAATTCCATGAGTTTTCGACCAAATTTCGAACTTTTGGTGTCATTACCATCGGGAAAAGATTCTCTATCATTTCATAAGAAAAAATAATTTTTTTTTTTTTCAAAAATTGAGCGACATAGAATGACAGTTTCAGAAAGGGGCCTGAAACAGTCAAAGGGTTAAATCGTCATGCAACTTCCTAGCCTTTTCACATATGATCGCTTGAGAGATGCTATCTCCTGCTATCTGTTTTTCGTTTACCCACACCAATAAGTCTCTCAACATCTTCGAGTACTTGCGACCTCAGTTTCGAAAACATAGTTGCACCTTTGGCAAGAACAGCTTCCTTGATTGCCGTTTTCTTGGTCACAATAGTAGCGATGGTTGATTGGGGTTTTGTGTACAACCTGGCCAGCTCGGAGACACGCACTCCACTTTCATACTTGGCAATAATCTCTTTCTTCATATCCATAGTAATTCTCAACCTTTTTGCTGTAGGGTTGGCACTAGAAGTTTTCTTGGGGCCCATGGTGACTTATTTTGCAGGTGCAATCACTAAAAAAGCTGTGATAATATGAAATGTTCCGATTGTATGCTTGGAAGCGACTGCGGTGGCTGGCTGGCTTGTAAACACTGGCCAGAAGTGGACGTGTCTCAGACGGAACTAATAGTGTTGGTCGAGTTTTTTAGCGCTAGTCGAGGCAAAAATTTTGCGTTAAAATGTATCGCTAGTCGGATTTATCGTTAATCGATGCCATCGTTGGTCGAGGGTCCACTGTACTGTATTTTATACTGTAAGGTTTAGGATAAACACTGTGTACAGCACAAATAGTTGTTTATTTCCCAGAAATTTGGCATAAACAACACGGTCGTAAGTCGAGTGGTCATAAGTCGAGCAGGTCGTAAGTAGGATGGTAGGTGTGTGCGTGTGTGTGTGTATATATATATATTTTTTTTTTTTTTTTCAACAAGTCTGCAGTCTCCCACCGAGGCAGGGTGACCCAAAAAAGAAAGAAAATCCCCAAAAAGAAAATACTTTCATCATTCAACACTTTCACGACACTCGCACATTATCACTGTTTTTGCAGAGGTGCTCAGAATACAACAGTTTAGAAGCATACACATATAAAGATACACAACATATCCCTCCAAACTGCCAATATCCCAAACCCCTCCTTTAAAGTGCAGGCATTGTACTTCCCATTTCCAAGACTCAAGTCCGACTATATGAAAATAACCAGTTTTCCTGAATCCCTTCACTAAATATTACCCTGCTCACACTCCAACAGATCGTCAGGTCCCAAGTACCATTCGTCTCCATTCACTCCTATCTAACACGCTCACACACGCTTGCTGGAAGTCCAAGCCCCTTGCCCACAAAACCTCCTTTACCCCTCTCTCCAACCCTTTCGAGGACGACCCCTACCCCGCCTTCCTTCCCCTATAGATTTATGTGCTTTCCATGTCATTCTACTTTGATCCATTTTCTCTAAATGACCAAACCACCTCAACAACCCCTCTTCTGCCCTCTGACTAATACTTTTATTAACTCCACACCTTTTCCTAATTTCCACACTCCGAATTTTCTGCATAATATTTACACCACACATTGCCCTTAAACAGGACATCTCCACTGCCTCCAACCGTCTCCTCGCTGCTGCATTTACCACCCAAACTTCACACCCATATAAGAGTGTTGGTACTACTATACTTTCATACATTCCCTTCTTTGCCTCCATAGATAACGTTTTTTGACTCCACATATACCTCGATGCACCACTCGCCTTTTTTCCCTCATCAATTCTATGATTAACCTCATCCTTCATAAATCCATCCGCCGACACGTCAACTCCCAAGTATCTGAAAACATTCACTTCTTCCATACTACTCCTCCCCAATTTGATATCCAATTTTTCTTTATCTAAATCATTTGATACCCTCATCACCTTACTCTTTTCTATGTTCACTTTCAACTTTCTACCTTGACACACATTCCCAAACTCATCCACTAACCTTTGCAATTTTTCTTTAGAATCTCCCATAAGCACAGTATCATCAGCAGAAAGTAACTGTCAATTCCCATTTTGAATTTGATTCCCCAAAATTTAATCCCACCCCTCTCCCGAACACCCTAGCATTTACTTCTTTTACAACCCCATCTATAAATATATTAAACAACCATGGTGACATTACACATCCCTGTCTAAGACCTACTTTTACCGGGAAGTAGTCTCCCTCTCTTCTACACACCCTAACCTGAGCCTCACTATCCTCATAAACTCTTTACAGCATTTAATAACTTACCACCTATTCCATATACTTGCAACATCTGCCACATTGCTCCTCTATCCACTCTATCATATGCCTTTTCTAAATCCATAAATGCAATAAAAACTTCCCTACCTTTATCTAAATACTGTTCACATATATGCTTCAATGTAAACACTTGATCTACACATCCCCTACCCACTCTGAAACCTCCTTGCTCATCCGCAATCCTACATTCTGTCTTGCCTCTAATTCTTTCAATTATAACCCTACCGTACACTTTTCCTGGTATACTCAGTAAACTTATTCCTCTGTAATTTATACAGTCTCTTTTTTCCCCTTTGCCTTTATATAAAGGGACTATACATGCTCTCCGCCAATCCCTAGGTACCTTCCCCTCTTTCATACATTTATTAAACAAAAGTACCAACCACTCCAACACTATATCCCCCCCTGCTTTTAACATTTGTCATGATCCCATCAGTTCCAGCTGCTTTACCCCCTTTCATTCTACGTAATGCCTCACGTACCTCCCCCACACTTACATTCTGCTCTTCTTCACTCCTAAAAGACGGTATACCTCCCTAACCAGTGCATGAAATTACTGCATCTTTCTTCCTTAACATTTAAAAGTTCCTCAAAATATTCTTGCCATCTACCTAATACCTCCATCTCCCCATCTACTAACTCCCCTACTCTGTTTTTAACTGACAAATCCATACTTTCCCTAGGCTTTCTTAACTTGTTTAACTCCAATTTTTTTTTCTTATTTTCATTAAAATTTCTTGACAGTGCCTCTCCCACTCTATCATCTGCTCTCCTTTTGCACTCTCTCACCACTCTCTTTACCTTTCTTTTATTCTCCATATACTCTGCTCTTCTTATAACACTTCTGCTTTGTAAAAACCTCTCATAAGCTACCTTTTTCTCTTTTATCACACCCTTTACTTCATCATTCCACCAATCACTCCTCTTTCCTCCTGCCCCCACCCTCCTATAACCACAAACTTCTGCCCTGCATTCTGATACTGCATTTTTAAAACTATTCCAACCCTCTTCAACCCCCCCACTACTCATCTTTGCACTAGCCCACCTTTCTGCCAATAGTCGCTTATATCTCACCCGAATGTAGAATGACATGGAAAGCATATAAATCTATAGGGAAAGGAAAGCGGGGTAG